TATTCTCGTAAATTTTTGAGTTCTTACGGCGAGTACTGTAGATAAGGTGGTGCAGTTACTCCCTGCATATAACCACTCTTTCACCACTATGCCTTCAAATTTCGTTAATAGCCTCTTGATCAGGAGTCCTTCGTGGTTTTAGAGTAGGTACGATCGTGCGTGGCGGAAGGCGGAATAGCCGAGTGGACAGGAGTGCAGGCTCAAGTCTGCACTTAAAGAAAATGCGAAATTTATCTATGCCGAGGCAACTCCATGCCTTGCAAAAATTGCAAAAATGGTATCTGTCACGCGTCAGGCCCAGATTGACAGGCGGCTGATGGAGAAGCCAACAAAAAACATGTCTGAGGTCTCACAAAGTGTCAGTGTTAAAGCTAGTACGTCACCAGGAAATGGCGCACAGGACCCTCGCTCGAGTTCTGTGGACAGTCTGCGAGGGCTACCGAGGAGCGAATGAGAGTTAGTTCGAGTTGGGACTCTAAATGTGGGACCGCTAAGTGAGAAGTCCCGAGAAGTCGCTGATACTATAAAGCGAAGGGACATCCAAGTTCTATGCCTTTAGGAGATGCAGACGGAACGGAGAAGACACGAATGAAGTGGTGTGACCATAGCAGTGGCAGATTCCCGAAGATTCTGTCTCCGCCGTCAACACGATCAGCAGTCGAATCATGGCTGTGAGGATAAACACGAAGGAGGGGTACTGGGCAATAATATCTGTGTACGCCCGACGAGCCGACCGCCCCATCTACGAAAGGATGAGTTCTTTCTGAACCGTGACGACGCCATCCGATCAGTTCTGGAGGGGGACTATCTCACCATAGGAAGTGATCTGAGTGGGCACGTCGGCAGTGAAAGTAGGGGACTGGAAAGGGCACATGGAGGTAGAGGAATAGGGGTGAGAAACGAAGAAGGAGAGAGAGTCCTTGCCTCGGCCATAGCCCACGACTTGGCAGTCTGCAGCACCCTACTCGCGAAAAGGAAGTCTGGTGACCTGCAGCAGTGCAGGGAACGAAACGGAATTAGATTATGTGCTAGTCAGAAGATCGTCCCTCAAAACTGTAAGAGACATCAAGGTACTGCTCGGAGAAGATCTGACTCCACAGCAGACATAGCCATTGACCTTCCCAAGGAATCAACGACAAAAATGGATCGGAGAATCCGGTGATGGAAGCTGGACCGATTAGGATGAGAACACCTCATCTACAAGACAAGATACTGGAAGCTGGACATCCAGATTGCGAAATGCCGGTCCTGCAGACCTGGAGCAACGCTGTAAATGTCATCCTGTGATGTGCAAAGGATTTGCTGAGGGAAACTAAAGGTGATTTCTGGGAGGGGGGGGGGAAGGAAGCATGGTTTTGTAACGATGGAGTCCATTGAGTTGTGAGGCAGAAGAAATCGGCCTAACGCCTACAAACGCTGCCGAAAGACACGAGCCCAGAGGACCTAGCTGCCTACAGATCTTTCAAGAGGCTCGCCAAGGCTGCTGTAGCGAAGGCCAAGGACACGGAAATGGACGCCTCTTGTGAGAATTTTGATAGTCGAGAGGGAGAGAAGTTTGTCTTACGCCTGGCGAAAGCGCATCACCTCGCCGCTCACGACATCGTGGTATTGAATTCCGTCAGCGCGGGTGCAATCCTGAGGACGCCTGGCGAGGTCAGGAGTAGGCCGAAGGGATACTTCTACAGTCTCTTCAACGAAGAATTCGCTCGTATAAATAGCTCCCAATTAGAGGAAGCAGCTAGCCCCATCAAACTCTGGAGAGAGGATGTAAGGCAACTGGTCTGGATGAGGCACCTGCCGAGGCACGGAAGACGCTAAGAGAGCACGGGATAAAGCAGCTCACCCGATTCCTGAAAACTGTGACCGCTAAAGGAAGAATCCCAGATGCATGAAGGGGCAGTACTATCGTTGCCATGGAGGAGGCTCATTCGATGCTACTTGCAATCGGACATTCGAGAGAAGGAAGGGCATTATGAAATTCCTCAAGACTTCTATAGTAACCGCATGGGAGGCTATTAAACGATATAGAAAAAAAGATTTAAGCAGAGACAAACCAGGAAAGGTATAAAAGCCAATGCTTCTGAAGATAGGACTATTAAAATGGTCCGTCTGCCAGTCGGTCGGGATCCTGGGTGACCCATCAAAAGGAAGTCAAATGGATGAAGAAGCTTCGTTGCCATCTCTATAGTATGCAGAAATTTCGCTTCAATTCCGATCTCAGCAGAAACTGCAAGGCCAAAAAATGCAGGAAGTCGCAGACCCACTCGAGTGATGACACGCAACCCTTCATCGTTTTCTCTGGTCAAGGAATTTTCTACGATAAAATTATCCCTCAACAACCCAAACGTTCGCGTTTTGGGAGGAATCTTCTAACGTGCAATCTCTTACAAAAGGATTGCTATAAGAAGAGCAAAATGATGTTTTTTGAAGAAGTCACTGCCAAGGGAAAGACGCTCATGGTTACTTCGGTGCCGGCATGAAAATTGACGAAAACCAGTACTCAGAGAGAGTACTGAGGGATGTAGTAAAACACTGACCCGACAACGTTTCCTAAAATATCTAAATTATCTCGTGTCGGACGCTTCTCCAGCCCACAGAGCCAAGCTTGCTCGCGAGCGCGACAGCTGTCCGACTTCATCGGTAAAAAGTAATGGCCATCCTATTTTCCAGAACTTGACTCACTTGACTCTCCCGTACGGTACCTTATTAGAAGAGGACCTACCGAGTTTGCAGTCCCAATTTGGAGTCCCAGAAAGTAAGACTGAAGAACGGCTGAGAAGAAATGGAGAAGGTAACCTACGTGCCACATGCGATCAGGTCGAGAGCAAGCTTTGGTCCTCTATCCGCGCTGGTATTTTGAAATGTGGAGGTATTTTGAAATGTGATTGTAGCGGCAAATGGTGTTACCTAACGTGCACAGAAATCTCATCATTTTTTGCAGCTAAAAAGCTTAAAATATATTGCTATGAATTGGCGCGCATAATTTGGGACACCCTGTACAGGCAAATACATCTACAAAGGTATAGATATCTGCATAGTGGGACCGCGCACGTAAAGCGATGCTTTTTCGAATTGTCGCTCGTTTTCATATTAGCGATTATGCTTATAGATTCTAAGAGATTTCAACTTCTACCATGGATTTCTACCACGTGATGACCTCCCGTTCCTACTACACTACGTTGGTGAATTCATTGTGAGGTTAAGCGAGGTGATTATTTAGAAACTTCTTTGAACTATCATGAGATATGAAGTCATTAACGAATAGTTATTTCAAATTTAGGTCAACAGTGAAGGGCCACGAAAGCGGGAAATTATACTCTCCGTAGTTTGCGAAGGGCAGCCCGATATACAGCAGAGCTCCGAGGCGATGAAGCGTTATGAAGAAAAGGAAGAACAAAGGCAGGGGCGAAAGCAGTACGAGAAAAGGCGTGGACAGGTACAGGTATAAACTAAGCACATGGTGAAGATCCCGTTATCAAAGGGATTCTGGTAGTGAAAAAACATAATTTACTACTGTGAATACAGATTACAAAAATCTGAACGCTGCAAGTTTGCTTTTCAGTAACTCCTGCTAGCTTGCGAATCCAACTAATGAAAGAGCTCAAACTTCAACTGAATTCGCAGCATGACGTATACGGGAAATGTTCCCGCGCATTTGCAAAAATTAGCTTGGTGATGCTAAGCTAGTTTTGTCGCGCCTATCATCAGTGCGATGGCATTATGCCGCCGATGTCGAGGGTGCCTCAAACAGGAAGCCTTTATCTAAATATCAGTGCCATGATGTAACATTCAGCGTTGGGTTCTGCAACATCCTACTTTATATAATTTGCTAAGTGTGTCTGTTGGTGTGTCGGTGTGTGTGTGTGTCGGTGCGTGTGTTTGACCGGAAATTCATAACTCCTGTTCCCGTAGACCTAGAGAGTTCAAATTTGGTAGGAATACGGGGACAGGATGGGAATACCCATGTCATGCAGCAGGACCAGAATCCGCCTTTAGAGGGCGGGGAAATTTCGGACCGCAAATTCATAATTTCTTTTACGTGGGTCTAGTGTGTTGAAGGGTAAAAGTACAAGCGGCAGGATGGGAACACTTATGGCAGGTGGCAGGGCCAGATTCTGTCTGCAGGGGGCGGGGTTGCGCAGAGTAAATGTTTGAGCGGATGTTTGCAACTTCTGTTCCCGTGAACCCAAAGAGTTCAAATTTGGTGGGATCACAGCTTTCCGTATTAACAGTAATGAAAGCGGAACCTCGGCATTTTAATAAGTGTTGTAAAATATGACGAGATCGCAGGCATTCGGTGACAGGAACCGATAATAACTGATAAGAGGAGATAAGAGAGCAAGAGCCACCTACCTATCAAAGTCCTAAAATCTTACTCTCGGTATTTACGATGCAGCTTTGGTTGTTCAGTATGTTTCATTCGATGAGACGGGATGGTAGAGCTTGGTGACAAAAGTGACGGGTAAGTGCAGTAATAGGGACAAATTAGCGGCACTACGATAAGCGGATGAAAATTTTGTTCATTCCCTGCTACTAGATTTGAGATTTAGATAGGCGACCCGCTTCCCACGAAGTTTTGTGACCGAATGAAGGATCCTCATTGTTCGATATGATTTCGGATAAAAGTTAATCGACCGCCAGTTATTTGGGTCTTTTTACTGATGGTATTTCTGCAAAGGAAAAGAACCATTGATAACATCTGGTAATGGTGTTAACATCACTCGAAACATTTGTAAGTACCGCCCAAGGCTTTGATGTCTAACAGTTGATTTTTTCGATGGGTTCTTATTTTTTAAGAGAGAGAGAGCAGAAGATCGGCGCTTTCAACTGAAGGCGTAAGCACCGATCTACGCCGAATACCATTTGCACAGCTCTGTTAGCAGTGTATCAAAATTCGTGTACAGGAAAATATTATGTATTAAAGATGGATTGGAGAGTTAACCGATTACTACATCTTTGCCGAAGAAGGAGGGAAGCCCGGCGTGAGCCGGGCAAACCGACTGGTATCTCAATACATTCCGTGCTTATTGACCTATTATTCAAAAGGGATACATCGTGTTCATTGTGCGTAGGCATCATCGTTGTGCGAATGCAGGTTGCAGACTGCAGATTGATAATCCCTGTTCCCCTCCCAAAACCTGAAACGTTCATATTTGAAAAGGATACGGGCGACAGGTTCGCAACACGGATCATATTTGATAGGAAGTGACAACAGTTGATAGGGGTTGACTAGAAGGAGCTCTAGAAAGCAAGAATGACAGGATTCTCTACGCCTTCTGCCTCGGAACAGTGACATTCTGGTGGGTGTTGACAGTATGTACGTAGATGGTGGTAAAGGGAAACGATAGCAAGTGGTAAGGGCTGATAAGTAGTTATGGAAGGCTGGGAACACTGAGTGTGTAACCCCCCCCCCCTCATGTTTTACACCGGAACCTTGACCATTTAGTGGGTGAAACGATATAGTTTCGGAAAGTGTTAACAAATGTAAAGTGCTGCTGAAAGGTTTCAGAAGGTTAGAGGTATATGGTTTGTTTTTTTCTACTGGCAGCGCAGCTAAAAGTAAAGTTTAAAGTTTTTGGTTTTAATCAATCGCGCCCGAGGAATGCGCGCTCGCACTCGACTTCCATTCAGAATCGTAGTGGCGTGGTGAGTGCGTATATGGCCTATATAATGACTTGCGGTGCCCAGCCGATGTACAAGTCAGTGCTTTTATACTCTTAGACGAGTCTGTTACCAATCAACCGACCCCGGAGGGATGGAAGGATTGGTTGGCCTAGGCAGGTATCGATCTGGGATTCGACCCTCTGACCGTACGTGTGAGATAGTGCGCCACTTGCCACAACACCACCTCCGTCCCAGTAGCGCAGCTATGATCCATTATTTCAGTAAGTTGTCATGGAATTGATGGATCGTGTTTAATGGCGGATAGCAGAATTTAGTAGCTGATAAGAACTGTGAGAGGATCCTCGGAAATCCTTACAGCTTTCGTGTGTACGGTTCAGCTTCACGAAGCGTATCATGTGCAATGATTTGGAACAGCATACTGACGAAAAGGGGTGTTGGCAAATATGAAGATAGACAAAACAAATGCTTCATGGGTATACATTTTTGCGCTCATTCTTAGCTTCCATACCATTGTGCATCAGGCATTGAAGACTCATTGGAAGGTAACGTTCTCTGTTCTTTCCCGATATCAATTGCGAAAAAACTTCCGACAACTGCCACGAAATCTCCTTGAATGGTCAGTTTTCACGAAGCGAGGGGTCTATGAATTACTCCGCGATCATCAATAACTCAGTTGCTACTAATCAGTAAGGTAAACAAATGCCAGCAGAGGTTCCGTTTGCTATGCAGTTCCCTCAATAGAACTGGCTGGGCTAGTAGGCTTAGAGGACAGATGATCCAAATTCTTGGTGAATGGATATTTTCACGATTACCAACAACAACAGAACGAGAATGAATAATCGTGGCAGTTGCATTGCCCTGTTGATGTCAAATTTTTCCTTGTTGTGCTGGTCTATTTTCTAGCAGGCATTTCCTTTCTAAAAGTTCTTTTTCGTAAATCTCCCCATCATTCGTATTGGAAAATACATTGAGTGAGTCAAGAACTCCGACTTTGTTGCAAGAGAGAGAAGACTGGCCTAGCCGGGCGATTTTACCAAACATAACCTCACACTAACACAGCTCCGAGTCTTTTAAATGTGAAGGCTGCATGATGGAGCAACGGGGTCGTACCTCATGGCGCTTACATTGCCGTGACAACGTTTCACGTGAACATCGACCTGAGCCGTTACAACTGATATACCTACTGGAAGTTTAAGGACTTCTTTTCTTTGAAAGTCATTTGAAAAGAGAAAATCTCCTGGTTATTTCTATCGAAAATCCTGAAGTTCGAGTGATTGGGAACACAGATATTTGATTGAGCCTTGTTGACAAGCGACACGATTTTGTGTGGCTTGGCTTCGTTACTGAGAAATACCGCTTAATGAAACTACATCCCAGATAAACTTTTCAGATAAAGAATATCATTATTAAGCGAGCACTCGGAAAGTATATGGTAGAAACTACTCACCTCTTCAACTCTCTCTCGGACCTTTTCACATACTATGGACACAAACCCGGCTTTCTAGCGAAGGTTTGTTCTTTGCCGTAGTCATTCAAATAAGTCGTTAGGCATGAATGAGCAGGTTCCGAACTGGAATCCAATAGACCGTTGATACAGCCTCCTCAATAGTATTCATAGATCTTTCATGTATATCAGGTTTACATCATGACTGAACAGTAGTTACTGAGCACATTTTCAGACACAATTCATGCTTTTGCATCCGATTCGGCAACAGTCATGGGAGTATTATCACTCAGACCTCCAACAAGGGAGGGTTCTAGGAGAGGGAGCTTTCGGGTTGGTGCGAGAAGGAGTACTAAAAACCAAGTCTGGGAAAACTGTCTCTGTTGCGGTAAAGCAGGTAGAACTGAATATCACATTCGAATTAGGTAGATATTCAGATAAAAGCAACCAACTGAAAAATTCGTTCAGACTAAGTCTCACACCGAAATGGATAAAGCGAAAATCAAAGAGATGATGAAGGAAGCACGCTTGATACGATTGTTCAAGGTATACTGCGTGAGATTTCGATATGATTCTCGAAATAGCAATTTCTTCTCGCAAATACATTCAGCACAAAAATATTGTGCGCATCTATGGAGTGGCTGTTGACGAGCAACCGCTGCTGATCGTTTTGGAACTCGTATCAGGTCTGTCATTTCGATAGATTATTATGTTGGGTGCTGCTGTGCTCATTTCTGGAGAGGAACGTCGAGATATACATATTTTTTCGAAACTAATGCGCTGAAATGTATTATATGTTGAAAGCAGAAGCTGAAAATGTTAAAGTAAGATGCGTATGATACGGAAGATTCGTGATCAAATATCCAGTTCTAGAAGATGGGTTTCACTGTTTACTTGTGTGGTCTGTATAGCGAATCTAATGGTGTGCGATGCATGAACATGAATTTCAAATAAGTAATAAATAATATGCTTGATAAAATGTGGGTGTGGGGCGCACTGTTGTTCGACACTGTCGCCATAAGTATAATACTTCAGATGAGTTTGAATTCAAAATGAGACAAATGAGACATTTATTCAACGTGGGGTGCGTCTCAGTGGAAACGGGACATACAGATCCGCATCTTGATGCTACAAATATTAAGAAACATTCACTTTAGCTTTCGGTTTCTCAACTGTGCTGAAGGCACAAACAAGGAAAAACGTATCGACAAAACACTGAAAAATCGAACATAATTTTCATAAAAACACAAAACAGATGAGCCATGCAAAATGTGACAATACCAGATGAAGAGATGCTTTATTTTAGCAAACACAGAAAACGCCAAAGCTCGACATCGTAACTTAGCGGCATATGCCACTGAGTGCCTGAATTGAGATAAGTCTTCAATAATGATACCATTAAACATTGATATGTTTAATGGTGTCATTACTGAAAACTTCCAATGGTGACTCCCAGCTCTGAACGAGAAACTTTTAGCTTGCAAAGTAGTTTTGGGTTGACTGAGAAAATCTTATTAGGGTGTCCGGACAATTTTGAGAAAATTCTGCCTATCAACGTAGAGAACATGTTGCTCGGGAATGCGCTGAAGAAGGACTACAGATTTGATAGTAGGGAAAAGGGCATTGTTGATTTATCAATATTATGACTGATCGGTATTTGTCGTAGTCGTTCGATGTAACTAATGGTCGATCGAACGATGTGGTATCGATATGAGTACAAGAGACCTATGCTTCTCGATTACGGAACTAATCGCTTCGACATTCAATCTTGGGATGAGATATGGAGACTGACTTACAGCAATCACCCCCTCTTCCAACTCACCATTGATAGCGCAATCGCTTCCTCTGACGGAGAAGAGTTCAGCTTCACGAAATTTGTCGAACGTCCACTGTCGCCCATCAAATCCCGACTCTATTCTGGCATCCCGTCAGAGCAAAGTCTAAGGAAGTGGAAAAGACGATCTCTACTCTATAATCCATCCCTCGCGACGTTCTACGCTAAAGTCGCTTTTGAAACAGGCCTCTTTGGAAATATCGCCCACTTCTTGGCTGAACAGGAGCTCGAGGGCGAGTCAGTGTGTGTCAGAAGCTCCAACCGAATTCATCGTTGCTCAGGGTAAAAAGTAGATGTCATGTGGAAATCCACACAGGAAATTGCAATGCCTAACAGCAGAGCCTAACAGTGGACGTAAGGCCACAGCCAGCTATAAAGCGATGCGCTTTCGCCAAGAAAGGCATGAGCCCGTTCATCCTCTGCTCAACCGAGTGTTTTACTATGACAGCCTGACAGTGTCCACTGTGACCGCAGAGTATTCTGTTGCCGACTGAGAGATGGTGTTTCGAGCCCCCATTTCATGCCGACTAGGAGACAATTTTCGATTGTGTTGGATAGTGCTCGACCACTCCACCCGAGGAAGTCGATGGATGAGCTCGATGGACCTGGTATAACCTAGCTATCCCGATCTCCACATATCCATCTGACCCATATGACTCCACACTTTCAGAAGCCCATAGGCCTGCTTTACAAGGAGAAAATTCATTGACTGTCGAGGAGTGAACCAGGTGGTAGATGAATGAATTGCGTCACGCCTCTCTTCGTATTTAAAGAATGGAATCAATGCCCAATCCGGTTGATGGGGAGGCAGTGTGGCTAAGAAGAGCCACTATCTTGATCACTGTTCTGAGTTCGTTGCTGTAGTTGTAGTTGCTGCTGTAATGATGTATTGAAAAAAACAAACTGAGTTTTCTAAAACTTTTGGACACAATACTGGATTTTCCTTTTTACTCGAAGGCATTAATGTGAAAACATTACAACAGAATGTGGTGGGTCGCTGGATATAGTCAGTACTGGAGAGGAAAGCTTTCGCCTCAAAACGCGCCACTGTTGCTGCTTCTAAGAAATCATTGGAAAAAGCCAGGCTGCAGTTGCTGAAGGAACTCTACGTCCCACGGCCTATAAGTCGCCGAAGCGTCATCGAGCTATAATCAGTACAGAAGACGGTTATATAAGTTGACCGTGCATTCGTTTTGTAGATGCGATGCACAGTAAATAACTCACATGAATTGACCACGTATCAATATGAACTGTGGTCTCTGTGGACCAATTCTTTTGTTACCATATTTATGACGCACCCTGCAATTCTTCCCTACACTCGATTCACCTCCTGTAGTTTACAGTGAATTTCTAAAATTAACATATTGTTATGCCAACATGACTAACCTATCATATCAGAGAACTGCTTGACCTTACCTTTCCATTGAGGCGGAGCACTGAAGAGCTTTCTGAGGGAATATGGCGTACGCTTCGACATGAAGGAGAAGATCTTTATGTGCATTGGAGCTGGATCAGGGGTGGAGTACCTCCACGCAAATGAATGCATGCACCGAGATCTGGCTGCAAGGAACTGCCTCATCACAAAAGAAAAAGTTGTACGTATCCACATGAAAGTCATCTTCGATACAATAGCTTAGTTGCAGCAATTACAATACTGCTCCTAATTCTTGGTCAACCGAAGGTTTGCGACAGATTAATTCGTCGCAGACCGTCGCTTCGCCATCACTTCAGCTAAACCACTCCAATCACGCTGAAAGCAAGACTATCGGAAAGCTCTTCTCGTGAAAAATCCAAAGATATAATAATCTTCCGATTTTCTTGAAATTTTCGCCTCGCTTTTCGATAAAACGAAAATTGAGTCTCTCAGCACTTGGAGTGTTACTTGCGGATATGACAGCATCGTAAATCCTCCACTTCAATTGAAAACTTCGTTACCGGCTTACAAAGGCCTGAATCGTGCTACAGCTGAAGTGAGCATAGAACCCTGATCATTTTGATACCCTTCATAACATATTTTAAACACTTTCAGCTGAAAGCAGCGATGCAAAGCAAATTACCAGGTTTAGACGTTCTTTGTTTCTTTCAGCCACGTATTTCGTATGACGACCGTATTGATTGCTTGTGGGGAACCTTGTCATGTCATAAATTTTTAATTTCATCAGTTTTGCAGCATCATTTTCATGGAAGTCAACGAGTGAGTGTTCAGCACCTTCCACATGTTCAGCTTCCTGCAGATATAGCATAACCTTAAACTCTCCACTTCAATAGAAACCTTCATTCTTAGCTTTTAAAGACATTTGGAATATGGGAACATGAAATCATGGTTATTTTGATATACTTAATGGTACGATTCGAAAAGTTCCAACAGTGATTCCAAATATCAACTTTTCCAGAATTTGCTATTTTAGAAGTGAACTTTCTCATGAACGGATTGTTCCGCATTCGCTAAAACTTCCATTATGTGATCTGATATACTGATAATAAAAGGATGAATGGCCTCCTAATCGGACGTTGAGCTAACGGACCCCTCACTATCGATCTCTATTGGCCCATCGCCTTCGCTCTTGCCGAGTCCATTCGAGAGTACGCCTGTCGACACATATTGGTATGCAGCTGGCAGAATGAAACGACCACGCCATGATAGATACTGTTTGACTATGTATATCAAGTTTAGTTGTACTACCTTAAATCGCGTACAAATTTGCGCTTGTTCGAATTCCCATTCGACGGAAGCTGTGGGTCACCGAAACTAAACACCGGCCAAATTAGCACAGAGAAGCACTCATTGCTTGCCAGCACTGCTGTTGCAACATTTGCAAGCACTGTACACGATTGAGGACCCGAACCCATATGGAATCCAGGTCGGGTGTAAACACGAGACGCACACACCCCCGCTGCGCCATTGGCCGCCTCAGCTTGGGAACATTTCAATCAACAACTTAATAGTGGTTTAGGCTGGCTGCGGCAATAGTGACCATGCTACTGTGTGCTGCGAATGTGAACGAGTTTGGAATATATATGTGTTTTTCAAAATGTATACAGCCGATATAATTTGCACAAAAAGATTGATGGACTGATAACTCCTAGAACGTTTTACAATTTCCTTTCTTCCTACTCGATTCATGAGGTTGTTTTCTTCCCTCTCGATTCATGAGGTTGACTGAAAAGTTTGGTGACCCCTAAGTCTTCACACATAGTCAGGCTCGTCTCCTGGGTGCCGACCAACTCTAATTAGGCCAATGGTTGATCTAATTCGAGAGGCTGGTCGATTTATTCGTGTTGGTTAAAGCAGAAATTGCGTAGTATGGGTGGCAATTAAGCCCATGCGCCCCAATGGCGAAGTGGCTGCGAAGGGCCGCGCCAAACGACATACTTTCTTTGAATGGACTTTTTGAATCGTACCATTAAGTATATCAAAAAACGATGATTTCATGTTCCGATATTCCAAATGTCTTTAAAAGCTCAGAACAAAGACTTCTATTGAAATGGAGAGTTTAAGGTTATGATATAGGTGCAGGAAGCACATCAGCTGCCGAACTTTCACCTGTTGACCTCCATGAAAATGATGCTGCAAAATTGAAATTAAAAATTCATGAAATGACAGGGTTCCCAACAAGCAATCATATGGTCGTCGCTCGAAATACGTGGCTGAAGAAATAACGAACGTCTAAAAACCTGGTATAAGCTTTGCACCGCTACTTTCAGCTGAAAGTGTTTAAATTATGTTATGAAGGGCATCAAAATTATCAGGGTTCTATGCTCTCTTCAGTTATAGCACGATTCGGGCCCACTGAAAACCGAGAACGAAGTTTCCAATTGAAGTGGAGGGCTTACGATGCTGTCATATCCGCAAGTAACATCTGAGAGACTCAATTTTCGTTTTCCCGCAAAGAAAGGCGAAAGTCACAAGAAAATCGAAAGGTCCTACTATATATAATTCGCTAAGTGTGTCTGTTAGTTTGTCGGTGTGTTTTTGTGTGTGGGTGTTTGTTTGTGTGTGTGTGTGTGTGTCGGTGTGTGTGACTGACCGGAAGTTCATAACTCCGGTCCCTGTGGGTCTAGAGCGTTTAAACTTGGTAGGAGTACGGAGGGCAGGAAGAGAACACTTGTGGTGGGTGGCAAGGCTGTACTGCATGCACAGGGGGCGGGGCGTGCGCGATAGAAATTTTGGGCCACAAGTCCATAACTCCTGTCCCCGTGGACCGAGAGCTTTCAAACTTAGTAGGAGTACGGAGGGCAGGATTGGAACACTACGGTGCGTGGCAGGACCGGGACTCCATGTACGGGGCGGGGCGTGCAATAGAAGTTTTGGGTTTTGCAGTGGAATTTCATAACTCCTGTTTACGTGGACCAGGTCGTTGAAATTCGGTTGGATTACACTTTTCTTACTAACAGTGGAACCTTAGCATTTTAATAAGTGATGTAGGATGTGACGGTATCGTAGGTTCTCTGTGACAAGAACTGATCATAACTGATAAGAGAAGATAAGAGACCTAAGAGAGGCCACCTACCGATCAAAATTCTAATGTCTTCGGTATCCACGATGTAGCTTTGACTGTTCAAAATGTTTCACTCGATAAGACGAGATGGTAAAGCAGGGTGACAGAAGTGAGCGGTAAGAACAGTGATAGGGACCCATTAGCGGCACTACAGCAAGTAGTTAAGAGTTTTGTTCGTTTCCTACTATTAGATTACGACCAAGGTTTGTGATTCAATAGGAATCCTCTTTGCTCGATATCATCTTCGACAAAACTTAACCAACCGCCCGTAATCTGGGATTCTCAGCTAATGATATCTCCGTGAAGAAAAGGGTCCATTGATAAGGAAGATCTGATAACGGTGATATCATCACTCAGAACATCTCACAGCATCATCTTTGGTTGTCTAACAGTTGGATCTTTGACGGGTATTTCTTTTTGATAAAGGGAGCAAGAGATCGGGAATTCCAATCAAAAGCGTAAGCTCCGACTTCGACTGAGTACCATTTGCACTGCCCTGTTAGTCCTGTGTCGAACTTCGTGTACAGGAAGCCATTATTTGTTTCAACAAAGGAGTGGAGAGTTAGGCTTACTACAACTTTATCAAAGAAAGAAGGAAGCTTTCGATTTCTGTTGTGTCAAAGAAGGATTCCGACCTCTGTTTCTGTTTCATACTCTCACTCAACTAAACAGCGGAAAACTCAAACTCAGCTAAAAAGCGGAAAAAACTTAAAACCTAAACTTAAAAAATTAAACTTTAAAAAAGGGAAAAAAATTCTTCAGTTAAACATTTTTCGGGATACGGTGTTCAACACAAGATGAAGGAAAGCCTAGCCTTAGCCGGGCGATCCGACTGGTTATTATATATTTGGATTCTACTTTCCTTTCCGATGATCTTACTTTCAGCGTGATTAGAGTACTTTAGCTGAAGTTATGGCGAAGCGACCGTTTGCGACGGATTAATCCGTCGCAAACCGTTGGTTGATCATGAATTGGGAGCAGTATTGTATTGGGTCAAAATACTGTCGTCGACAGCAAAGAATAGAGAAGAGCGTATACGCTGTAGTATCTGTTCGATGAAGTGAGCACTGCTTCGCTGTGAAATGCTTTACTGAACTCATTCGCATATTTCAGGTCAAAATAAGTGATTTTGGTCTTTCACGCGTCGGTACTCACTACGTCATGAAAACTGCAATGAAGTTACCCATTAAATGGCTGGCACCAGAAACGATTGCATCATTTGTATTTTCCTTGAAAACGGACGTCTTCAGCTTCGGAGTTCTGGCCTACGAGATCTTTACAAATGGAAGTGAACCGTGGGAACATTACACAAACGCTGAAGTGAAAACAGCAGTCAGTGACCTTCTGTATTTCTCAGACTACAGTCGTTACTACCTCCTCTGCTCAGGTGCTTGAAGGAAGATGCTTGAGTTTACCGACTGCTTGTCCAGAGCGACTACGAGATTTCTTCACTTATTGTGTTTTCGCTAGAGATCCAGGTCAACGAACTACTATGACCGAAGTATGTTCTATTTTCTTAACTTCTTTTGCGAACCTGACTATATGCTCGGAATATTAAAACTGACTTGACTTCAACGGACTGTTTGCTCGAAAGACTTTGCTGAGGCATCCTTAGATTGAACATTGAGTCAGGTGTGGGCCTATGAGGTGAGCTGTTGCCCAGCATCCGCAAGTGAAGAAAAACTAAGAACAGTCTCGCGCTACACATATCAGGGGTTCGATATATGGCCATGTGATGCCAAGGCACTAACTACTCCTTCATCCGCAGGCATTTTCATGAAGCAGCCCTTCGCTGTATGCTTGGATGAGTCGATCCTGTTTCGTTTTGCCTCCTTCTCTTCGACGTCAGACTATAGACTTCAGAAAAAGTCCCAAGTATTATAATACGAGCGATGAGAAGAAAGCAAAATACACCAGATTCAACGGGATTTACCAACCCAAAGGAGGTGGTACAGAGGTATTCTGGAGGTGTGATTAGATCGTAGGCGAGCGACTTCAGTTTCTGTGGTTGTGAACTCCTTGTGAGATGGTTCGTCGATAAGGCGAGACCAATAAAGGAAAATAAGGAAGATTGAGGAGAAAAGAAGTTAGAGAAACTTCTAAGTTAAGGGGTCAGAAGAGAGTGCTAATAGAACTACGCCCAGATTTCGAGTTGGATTAATTACAGCTACTAGAATCTGAGTGGTGGAGAATTAGCGCCCCACAAAACCAACAACTATGAGACCTAATGTTAGGTTGTGACAGGCTGCGAAATTTTTGCGTAATAGACTGGGAGTCGAACACACTTTGGCTCAGGGTTGCTTGCGAAATGAAGTATGATTGAAGTGGAAATTTTCTTATTGAAACTCTGCTATTTTAGGTTGTGAAGACTCTTAAAAGTTCAACTACTTACGATAGCCTCGACAGCGGACTCGTTCCCAGACGTTCTGCTGTTATATGAAAGTCTTCTATAATCATTTCCCAGCCCCCTCATTTAGTCGCTATACATACAAATGCTCTAATATCGCGTATATTCCTCAGAACTCCAAACCATGTGCTTTAAATTCCGATTCATTGCTAGTCATTCAAATCAGTGAGTAGGGCTATTGTTAGAAAATCTTCACTTCATTGAATCTAACCTTTTAAAACTTTCATTATTAACTAGATCGTATTACATATTGCGAGTGTGCTCTGTTCCGCCGCATTTGAGGGTTATTTGTCCATTAAAACTCGGACTTACTTCAAAGATAAAGTGTTTGAAATATTTTTTCAAGAACAACTTCCGTGTTTGTTCCTCTTCACAAGTCAGACAAATGAGTGTTGAACATGTGGTGACGCTGCTTACTGGATCTCAACATTCATCGTCGTTTACATTTATCGATTTTTAAAAGTAGTGGTAGTGGAGGTTGCACGAGGTCACCGTGACGGTAATGGCATATAATAGGTGTCTTGATAAGATTTAACTTGCTCCCATCGCTCAAGGGATGAGGGATACATTTATTTATTTGTTCTACTTATCTATTGTCGCAGTTGACGAAAAGGAGAGAAGCAAGTATAGCGTCAAAGTAGTAATAGTATAGCAAATATAGTACACTTCCATTATAAATAAAATGGAAAGATAGATAAAATGGATAATACAGTGTTACAAAATACAATGAAATGGGTAGTTGAAGCGGGGGTGGGGGTGGGAGAGGAGGGAGAGACAAAGGGTTGCCCGGGAGAGGAAGGGCAGTACTTCGGCCAAAACACTGCAAGCTGCTAGGAGGAATTGCAGCTCCTGATACCACCTTAGTAGGTCCGCCAACCCCTCTAAGGGCCCAGAGAAAATTACAGGGTGAAAATTAACGCAGACTCAATAGGCCAAAAGTGAGGGGATTACTGAGGCAGAAAAACAATACAGTCAGCCATTATGATTACACAATCCACAACGATTAGCTAGATTGAATTACAAGGATCACATTTACAAGGGAGAAAGAAAAATGGAAACAAGAAGAAAAGCAGAAAAAAACAGAAAAGAAAAGAAAGCAGAAAACAGAATGCAGAAAAAACTGATAAAGTCAAAAAAANAAAAAAAGAAGGCAGTAAAGTTCAGTCTTCAGAAACCTCTACGCAGTCCAGCATCCCTGAAATTGCATGTTGTTCTTTGAAATAACGGGAAAGCTGAATCTGGAACAAATGCGAACGTCTCCATCTGGAAAATTCAGAACCGAGCCTGTTCCATAACGGCACAACTCGAACAGGGAAGGTGCCTCCATAAGCCCGACTATTAGGTTTTTCCGGGTGTATAGGGGTGGCCCCTCGAAAGCCCTATGGAAGGCGACTTTTCGCATATGTCATTCAAATCTAAATCGATTTCATCAGTGATCAGCTTATACATCAGAAGTACATACATCTCTGAAGTCGTTCGACATACGAAAGGGAAGTAATTTCCTTACGAATGAGCAGCGGTGGGTGAAACTTTTCTGGACTTTCTCAAGTTCATCGATTAGCGACCGCTTGTACGGTGACCAGTGGGGAGAACAATACTCATGATCGGCCTGACGTGGACGTGTCATTCTGGTTTAGAGACCAGAATGGCATCCAAAATATTAAAGGCACCGTTCACAAAAAAGTTAGGGTACCCTTTTTTGACGGGAATTGATAGAACTACTCTAGAATAAAGCGATAA